TTTGAAGATCTTATTCGATAATATCACCAAAATCACAAAATCCGCCCATATGTTTTGTGTAACGATAATCATGTGTTCGTGATAATAAAATTTGGATCCGAATTATCCGAATTAAATTTTAATTATAATACCTCAAATAACAAACATGCCAACAGAAATAACAAAAACTTATTCGGGTGCAGAGGTTGTCGCAAAGGCTCTTAAAGACCAAGGTGTCGACGTTGTGTTTGGAATTGTCGGCATTCCTGTTGTTGAAGTGAGTTGGCTAATTTAATCTATTGAAATGTTTGAATTTAAAATTAATATTTTCTGATTTACACATAGGTTGCAGAAGCAATCATTTCTGAAGGAATCAAATTTATTGGATTTAGAAATGAGCAGTCCCTTAGTTATGCTGCGGGAGCTTACGGTATTCACGTATTAATCGATGTTTAATTTAACATATTCACGATCTATTTGTTGATATTTTGGTTCCTTGTTTCTGAAACCTTTAAAAGGATTCTTAAGTGGTCGTCCAGGCGTAAGTATTACAAATCATAAATATAATGTTTCTACATGCCATTCATTAGTTCCTATTATAGGTCTGTCTAGTAGTATCTGGTCCCGGAGTTGTACATGCCTTGGCTGGACTAGTCAATGCACAAGCCAATTGCTGGCCTCTACTTCTCATTGGTGGATCATCGGATACTTATCAACAAGGAATGGGTGCCTTTCAAGAACTAGATCAAATAACACTTTGCAAGCCTTATTCCAAAATATCTACAAGGCCATCTTCTATATCGCAAATTCCGAACGTGATAGACAAAGCAATCAAAACTAGTATTTATGGCCGACCGGGACCTGTTTACATTGATCTGCCAGCAAATTTTATCCAAGGATCTATTACTTATGAATCAATGAATTTACCAGGCCGTGCGACTGATTCTCCTAAATCACTTGCTGATCCACAGTGTGTGGAAGAAGCCGTTCGATTGTTACTGAGTGCCAAAAAACCGTTAATTATAATTGGCAAGGGTGCTGCTTATTCGTGTGCTGAAAAAGAGATTAATGAATTGATCAAAAAGACTAGAATTCCTTTCCTCCCTACTCCAATGGGAAAAGGTGTAGTTTCCGACTCTCATCCACTATGCGTATCAGCAGCACGATCCAAAGCTATTGCTAATGCGGATGTTATAATACTCTTGGGGGCTAGACTTAACTGGATTCTCCATTTTGGTGCACCACCTAAATTCAGCAAAGACGTAAAGTTTATACAAGTTGATATATTACCCGAAGAACATAATAATAATCGACGCATTCATGTAGCTTTATTGGGCCATCTCCCTCTGGTTGTTTCCCAATTAATTTCTTGCTTACCATCATCATTCAATCACCCATCGATATCAGATTATATTCAATCACTGCGACAAAAAATAGATGAAAACGTTGCCAGTACTAACGAAAAGTTTAAAGATGATACGATTCCCATGAGTTACCATAGGGCTTTTTGGGAAATAAAAAAGAGATTGCCTCAAAAGGATATAGTATTTGTAAGTGAGGGAGCAAATACGATGGATATTGCAAGGTCAATTTTTGATGTGCATGAACCTCGATGCCGATTAGATGCTGGTAGGTTTGTGATTCTTGTTCATTCTCAACTTAGTATAAGCATAATTTTTTGGCTTTTTAGGTACCCTTGCTACAATGGGTGTTGGATTGGGATTTGCTATTGCCGGTATGTTGTATAGTTGATCTAAATTAGGGATGGTAAATGACCTCGCCATTAATCAAAAATTAATAACACCAAGTCGTCAAATAATGACCAGGTCATTTGTGAGCATTGGCCATACAGGTTATTTATCACGTGAAATCATTGTATTAGTTAAATAACCAATAGAAAATTACTATTTCCATAATAATTGATAAACATATCTATATAAAAATCAAAAATCTTCTAAATTCATTAAGTTGTTCATAATAACAATTTACACATTCCATAAAAATTCCATGCAATTTAGATACTTGTCATTAATATGTTTTTGTATTTTATGAAAAACTTTTTTTTCGTAAATACGTTAAATGCAAAAATGTATTAATAAAATGTCATATAAGTTGCATGAAATCTGTATACGCAAATTGTTACTATAAACAACTTTATCAGAAAGCTGGAAATATGTTACATGGGGTATTTACTTAATTCATTTGGGTCATTTATTATCCTTAATATAAATCGCTAATGACTTATCTAATCCGTATAATATTGTTTCGATAGCAAAAGTTTACTATCCAAGTAAAAGGGTTGTCGCAATTGTAGGAGATTCTGCATTTGGATTTAGGTACAATAAATAAATAGGCACTTAAATGTCTATAGATCGAGTTAAAACTTATCTTTTTATATGCCATTAGCGCCATGGAAATCGAAACAGCTGTTAGGGCCCATCTTCCAATGATTATTATTATAATTAATAACAATGGCATATACCATGGTCTTGATATAGAATCATATAATGCGACATCCTTAAACGCGTTACCATCAACCGCGTTATTACCCGATGTAAGGTATGATCTAATTGCCGATGCTACAGGGGGTAAAGGTTATTTCGTGAGGACACCGCAGGAACTAGATGATGCTATGGGAGAGGCGTTAAAAGACAACGAAAAAGTTACAGTAATAAATGTGATGATACAACCAGGTGGTCGGAAGAAACTGGTATGAGTGAGATTTATTTTTTATATTATGCATGATACATTAAAATAATACTATTATTATCGTATAATCTTAGGACTTTGCCTGGATGGAAACGACAAAGTCAAAATTATGATCAAGTCATTTCTTTTATTACTAATTCTCCAAATAATTTATGTATATCTAAATTTGTAACTTTATTATTGAATTGTAATATATGTGTATATCATCTCAATGCTGTCATTAAAAGCTGATTATTTTGTGCATTCCTTGCCAACTATATAATTTTTATAACCTTTGTCACTTTATCCCTATAACATTAAATTTTAAAAATGACCCGGCCGGCTTTTTCTTTTAAATTTTATATATAAAATTTTATAAAATTTTTATAATATTTTTTTTGAAACCCCACCAGACTATTAAAACATATAAAAAATTTTTCTTCAAAAGTTTTCAAAATTTGACCC